TCACTAGAGGAGCGTTGATCGGTTCTCCAAGGTCTCCAGCAAGACATAGCGAACGGAACGCTAGTTTACAGTCCATCATGGCGTGCACAGCCCAGCGAAGTAACGGATGATCTACACGAGACTGTGCGAAGGAGTACTACCACACGCCCATACAACTAAGAAAGGACCAAGACACGAAGGACCATCCAGGAGACGACAATATCCTGAGTCGGGAGGTTGAGATCGTGCCCAGTGAGCTGGAAGAGAAGACGCCGCATTCTGTTGCTGCGGGATGCAGACACTGATTCTAGTAGATCTCTGCGTGACGCGTCATCGGGACAGAGGTCTAACAGAAAGTATTCAAGCGTTTCAGAAGATATAGCTGCTTGAGCTGAGTGGAGTCCTAGGAATGAGCGAGCCTCCGGCAGGTCGACAGCCGAAGATATGCTGGAAGATGCAGTATGGAGAGTCGATATGGGGCTGAGAAACATTGCAGCGGCAGCGACGCAGCCCGCAATGGATCGTGATTCTTTGTTGGGCTCATAGGCAATGGGCCCTACGACTGATTCGGCCGTCCAGAAACCGTGCTCAGCTTCTTTGTACCAGTGCCAAACCTTGAAACAGTACTCAATGCACGCCAAGTACAACGACACAGACGACGCACCTTGGTAGCACGCAGAGGAAACAACACAAAACGACGGTGATCGAGCAGTTGTTTTGAGTGTGCCCCGCCTTCCTCAAAGATATCGAGGCCTTGAAATAAGGAGATCATTTCTTGAAAGGGAGTCAAACCCGCGCTGTCGTCGGAGCGCTCTGGAAGGGCTGCAACGCTGACGCTCTCGGTGACCTGCCGAAAGAGGATATGACTGTCATACGGGCTGTGTGAGAATGATAATACAAACATACAAACCGCTGACATTAAACAAAGAGGCGGGCGGGTCAATGAAGGCAGATAGTCGTCGACGCAAGAGCAGAAGCAAAATTCGAACTGTTGCGTAAGCCTGCGAAGCGAGCCAAACTTAGATGGCCCAATGGGTGACGGAGCCACGCGAGATTGAAAAACACCCAGGGGCGATGACCAATAGGAGACGAAATTCATGTTTAACAAGCGTTGTAGCTCTATTACATCGAGAAGAAAAGGAGAAGGAGACGAGGTGACGTAGATCGAGAAACCGAAGACAAATAAGGCTTGCATCTCTGCACATGGAGGAAAACGTAGCTGGGAAAGAGATAATTGATAGCTCAAAGACCCTCGTCATCCGAGTCAAGCTCCGCTGCAGCATCCTCTGTGACCTTGGGCCCAACTTCCAACAGCGAAACGGCAACCAAGTCGAAGGAGACCTTGTACTCGACCATATCAGCCTTGTTAGTCTTGGTTCGAACCTTTCCATCCCTGTCCTTCTTCGTGTTGTAGCGTGATATCTGGGCCTCCATGAGCACTAAGTCTCCTTTCTTGAGTTCCTCGGGAGCAAGCCGGGGCATCTTGTGTTTGGTGGCGAATTTGTTGCGCGCATCGTAGACTTTCTCGAACTCCTGGTTCTGAAAAAGAATGAGCAGACACCGACGAAGGACAGCACGAGTACTAACCTGGTTGGCACGTTCTCCGTGAACTTGAGTAGAAGTCCACTTCGAAGCGTTGACGTGGAAGAGAGATTTGGTGCTGGCTGATAAACGCACGCATCAACAACGTCAATAAGAAACGAGACCAGGAGGAAAAATACGACGTACTCGACACCGGCCGAGAAAAATCGCACAGTACGTTCCTCGCGACCATCAGGGCATGGTCGGCGAGGGGCGCCACCCCCACCGAAATACGGGCCTCGGGTTCGCCGCTGCGCGGGTTGAAGAGCCAGAGGGTGTCGATGATGCCAACGATCCAAACAGAGACGGGTACAGAGCGGGGTTTGATGCATAACTTGTTCACAGATGCCGTAGAGTTACCCCAGTCAAGATCGAGAACGGGGAGCTTCGATAGAGCGAAGATGTTCTCCGCCGGCTTTTGGTAGTCCAACATGGGAGGGAGCCTCCTAGATAGAGTACCATACAAGTGAGGAGCTGAATGTCAGATATGGAATGAATGCATACTGCATCAGCGCGTTAGAGAACCATTGCCGGCGTGTAAAGAGAAGGTGAGAGTTGTTGACGGCCGCGTCATCTGCGCCAGATGAGCTGCCGGTCGCGGCATTGTTGCAGGCGTAGCTGTAGCCTGTTTATAAAGAGTGCCTATAGTAAGACTGGGACTCTATACAGAGAGCCCATCATCTTACTGGCCCATGCTAATAAGGGCTCTTTATTAAAGAGCAGTGGTGCTGGTGGGTATTCTGGCTGGAAAAATGGGCGAAAAAATAGGCAAAAAATACGTGAAAAAATGGGTGGGTAGGTATGGGGTGTGGCCCCGGGGTAGGGGGTGGTTTGGGGATGGGTAGGGGATGGGGTAGGGGGTAGGATAGGGTAGGAAAATGGGGGGTAATTGTGCAGTAGGGCTAGGATAGCTGGATGCAGGGTATGGGGAGGATGTATGGGGCTAGGTATGGGCTCTGGAGCTAGGGTAGATACATAGAGGAATAGGGATAGAATGATGGGCGATAAAAATACGGAAAAATACGGAAATAATAGTAGGAATGCTAGGATTGGTATATCAGG